AACCCGTATAGTTCATATGGTGGTTTGTAAAAAAAAAAAAAATAGTTTATATGGTGATGCGCCAAAACTGTGATAGTTCGATGGAAAAAAGTATTTTACCCTTAAAATAAAATCGAAAGATTATATATGTATATAATACGAATAATAATATTTAATAATACACATTTAAAATACATATTAATAATTAGGTAAATTAGACATTTAGGGGTCGTTTACTTCGGGGGAATGGGATAGGATAAGGGAAATAATCCCGGCTATCTCACGTTTACTCTGCGGGAAAGGGATAGTACTAATCCTACCTGGCGTCCATGTGGCACGCGCTAATCGACCAATCCCGGACAGAAAAATCCGGCCTCCCCCACGTGACAAATTTATCCCGTTTTTATCCTACCTATTTTACCCTCAAATTTTCATGTAAAGCGACAAAAAAACCCCTTATTTTCACTGCATTTACAATTTTATTACAAATAAAATGGAAAAATCGGCCATTTGCCCTAGCTGCAGAGTGAAAGTTGCGACGCCATTACTGCTGAGAAGTTGAAGCTTTTGAATCGTAAGGTGAGCTTCTCTGTTGTTTCTACTCTCATTTTCAAATTCGTTTGATTTTGATTTGTCGCAATTTCCGGGGAACAAAGATTGAATACGAGCAATTTGCCCTAGGTTCTGCAGAAACGAAGACGAGCAGTTTGCCCTAGCTTCGGATTCTCCGTCGCGTCTACAGGTGAGGTCCAGTCGCCTTTTTGTCTTCTGATTTTTGATTTTCCATGCGTCCATCGAATTGAACAATCGGCCATTTTGCCCTATTTGCAGGGAGAGTGCCGCCATTGTTACATAATAGGCTGGAGCTTCGGTTTTTTCGTTGTGCTGAAGGTAAGCCCCTTTTAATCGCCATGAGTTCACTTGTTAAAGTTTGATTTATTTGGCCATTGTTGTGTTCTGAGCCATTGGAGAACCCTAGTTACTGCAGAAACGAAGACATCCTTATCGTCAATCCCGGACAGCTTCGAACTCTCCGTCGGGCCTAAAGGTGAGCTCCACAAAAATTGTTTGTTAAGCATGCTGAATGTGATGATTTGATGATTTGCTGAGCCACTAATTTTGTTTAATAAGCATGCTGACTGTTGTTAAATATCAATCTAAAAGAGAAAGGCATGTGGTGTGGGTTCGGTTTCATTATCTTGTGAAGTAGCTGACATTTTTTGAGTACGTTAAGGTGATGCAACTGTGGTTGAATTTGATAGTTATTGGTTCTCATTTTCAGTTTATAAGTATGCTTTAAGTTAAATCTCATTAAGTTACTGCTATTATTTGATATAATCTTTAGAGTTCTAATTAAGTATTTAAATATTACAATAAGAAATATTCTACCAAACAAATACATAGTAGATAATAATATGGTCATCATGATTTGTTTTAAAAGGCTTTCTTGTGAAGTAGCTGACACTATTTGAGTGTGGTAAGGTGATGCAACTGTGGTTGAATTTGATAGTTAGTGGGTCTCGTTTTCAGTTTATAAGTGTGCTTTAAGGTGCTGCAAATGTGTTTAAGGTGCTGCAAATAATGTTTTGGTTACAGTATTGCCTTTGCTTGATTTGATGAATCGCTGATCCTTGCTTTATCATGTTCTATACTCACATAATTAAGTTTGTTTAAGCCATACAGGTGAATGTTTCATGCTAGTACATTTAATTTAAGTTTTAGAAGATAGAACCTAT